TAGTCCATGTGACATCAGTGGGTTAGTTAGAATGTTTTGAAGTTTCTTTGAAAATCTAAAATATCTTAAACCGAAGATGAACGGAGGTCTTACGGGCTTGGGACGACATGAGGGTGAGTCATTAATGACATAATTTTCATTTTTGGGTAAACTAACCCTTTACCGTTGACATATAACAAAAGAAAATTGCAGTGCACAGGCAATAACTGTTTTGGTACTTTTAACATTGTTGGCTCATATTGGTTTCTTCGTTTGTAAATCCTTTGGATATAAGGGTCTGCAAAATGATTAAAGGTAAATACATTTCTATTTCCGAAACTGAACCTGAAACACAGGCCAAGGCCAGTCTGGAGAAGGCGAAACAGGCTCTAGAGAAGGAGGTTGTAGATCTGAATGGAGACCTTCGCTCGCTGAGCAATGCAAAGCAGGATGTGGAACAGAAGAAGAAGAAGGTGGAGACCCAGCTTGCTGACCTTCAGACTCGCTTCAATGACAGCGAGAGGAAGAGGGAAGAGCTTGGAGATGCAGTGTCTAAACTGACTGTGCGTTTTACATTCAGACGTATTCTCTGAATAAACACTTTGAAAAAATATTACTATAGAAACAATGTAAGGTTTCTGTACAGAACTTCCTGATGGATGTCTTTTGTAAAATCTCTCAGATGGAGTATAACAATGTGAATAGCATCCTCAATGAGGCAGAGAGCAAGAACATCAAGCTGAGTAAGGATGTTGCCAGCCTCAACTCACAGCTCAAGGATTCACAGGTTGTATAATCTAATAATAAAATCTAATTTTATTGTCAGACAAGAAAAAAAAAAAAATACAAAGTCAAATAAAGCAAGATAATATTTTACACATCTTAACATTTTTATTTTTCACTTAAATAGTTCTTTACATGAAAATATATAGCTGCCTTCGTATTTTGGGAAGGGGGTCACACCCAGTGGGGTCATCATAATTGGGGTTTTAAAAAGCCCCAGATCTAAAGAATTGTAACAACATCAAGTTGTAATACCTATTTTGAGAAGCACTTGACACTTAATGTTTAGTCTGTCTGCCTATTTAGGAGTTACTTGGTGAGGAGACCCGTCAAAAACTTAATTTTTCCACTCGGCTACGTCAAATGGAGGATGAACGAAACAGTCTGCTAGAACAAATGGAGGAAGAGGCAGAAGCCAGAAGGAACGTGGAGAGACAGGTCTCCAGCCTTAACACGCAGGTCAGTCTTGCATAATTGCAAAGAACACCAACATAATTTCATAAAGCATCTCTGCATATGGCAGTTGTGGCAAATTTTTTTTTTTACAAATGAAGGAGTTTAAATAAGTTTGTTTCTACTTATAGTTGTCAGATGCAAAGAAGAAGTTGGATGAGTACTCCAGCAATTTCCAAATGCTTGAAGAAAGCAAGAGACGAGTACAGAGAGATCTGGAGGCCACAAATGGAGAGTTCGAAGAGAAAACTGCAGCTTATGACAAGCTGGAGAAGAACAAGAATCATCTTCAGCAAGAGTTGGAGGATGTGCTTGTGGACCTGGACAACCAGAGACAGCTGGTTTCAAATCTAGAGAAGAAACAACGGAAATTTGACCAGGTTTCACTTCTGTGTTTCAACTAATTTGTTCTAAATTCCACAGTAGAATTTCTGCAACTCAATTTTTTTTTTCCCTCATTAAGATGCTTTCTGACGAGAAAACCATCTCCAGCAAGTATGCTCAAGAGCGTGATTGTGCAGAGGCAGAGGCACGGGAGAAGGAGACCAAATGTTTGGTCCTGAATCGAGCACTGGAAGAATCCCAGAGTTCCTTAAGAGAATTAGAGAAACTTAATAAGGCACTTCGGACTGAGATGGAAGATCTGATCAGTTCAAAGGATGACGTGGGCAGAAATGTGAGTTGTGATTTATAGTAACATGAAAGTTGGACAGTAGTTCTTAGTCAACTTAGAGATGCTGTTGTCTGAAATTAGATTACTAAAGGTTCCATATAAAAATACAATGAAAGGTCCATGAGCTGGAGAAGGCCAAACGTGGATTGGAGGCTCAAGTGGAAGAGATGACAATTCAGATGGAGGAACTTGAGGATGAATTACAGACTGCAGAGGATGCTAAACTCCATCTGGAAGTCAATATGCAGGCCTTCAAAGTCCAATTTCAAAGAGACCTGCAGGGCAGGGAGGAACAAAATGAAGAGAAGAGAAAACAACTGCTCAAGCAGGTGAAGATAGATTTCTTTGTTTTGATTTGTGTTGCTCAATGATGCTTTGTAGATTTTCCTGAATCTGAACTTTATCATACTTGTAGACTCCTCCCCCTATCAGTAATAGCAATTATTCTCTTATATTTGCCCACTTGGCACGCAGGTACGTGAGCTTGAGACTGAGCTAGAAGATGAGCAGAAGATGAGAACTTCACTGGCAGCTGCCAAGAAGAAACTTGAGGGGGATTTGCAGGACCTTGAAGACCAAGTTGACGCAATCAACAGGGGGAGGGACGAGGCCATTAAACAACTCCGCAAGACTCAGGTCAGAAGGTCAAACCTTCAAATTATTTTAATTTCCCAAGCCTTTGTCAACATTCATCTATGTTAGTTGTCTTCCCCATGACAGACACAGATGAAAGATTCCCAGAGGGAGCTGGAAGATGCGCGAGCGTCCCACAAGGAGGTTCTTTCTGATGCAAGAGAATACGAGAGAAAGGCCAGAGCCATGGAGGCAGAAATCTTACACTTACATGAGGTATACATGATATCAAGTGGTTGATGGAAATGAGTTTAAATATCTTGCCATACAACTGTAATGTCAATGCCTTTGTAGGAACTGGCCACAGCAGAGAGAGCTCGTAAACAAGCTGAACGAGAGAGAGATGAGATAGCAGGGGAGATAACAAGTGGCTCGTTTGGAAAGTAAGTTGGGAATTAGTATTTACAAAATAGAAAAAATGATGCTTAAACTGTTATAACACCATATGCAATGATTGTCCACGGGTAGATCCGGCATGTCTGATGAGAGACGTCGCCTGGAAGCCAAGATCCAACAGTTGGAAGAGGAGCTTGATGAGGAACAGGCAAACACGGAGACGCTCAGTGAGAGACTGCGGAGAAGTGTGCAGGAGGTAATTGGGGTATTCATCCACTATGATGCTGTAGCGAAGGTGTTCTTTCAAGGTGATACCAGACCACGGATCATTTTATCTATAACTAGGTGGATCAATTGACCAATGAGCTGCAAATTGAACGCTCCAATGCTCAGAGGAACGAGAGTGGCTGGCAGCAGATGGAGAGGCAGAACAAAGAGCTGAGGGCCAAGCTGCTGGAGATGGAGGGACAGGTCAAGTCCAAGCAACGGGCCTCTGTAGCTGTCCTAGACACCAAGTTACAACAAATGGAGGACCAACTGGACCATGAGAGCAGGTGAGATCATCAGTGTTAATATAGATTTGGCTGTAAAGACAGATGGATTTTCAACTAGTTTCTTTCAGGGAGAGACAGGCGATTGCCAAGGCCATGCGGCAGAAGGACAAGAAACTAAAGGAACTGATGAATCAGATAGAGGATGAACGAAAACAGATGGAGCAGTATAAGGACCAGGTATGAAGGATTCATGTAAAGCATTTGAGGTCCTATAAGGTCTTCTTCATGATACTGAAAACTCTGACTTGCGTCATCCACATTGTAGGCTGAGAAAGCAAATCTGCGAGCAAGGCAGCTGAAGATACAGGTGGAGGAGAGCGACGAGGAGTCTCAGCGTGCCACTGCTGCTCGCCGTAAACTTCAGAAAGAGCTGAATGAGGCCATCGAGACCAATAATGCCCTGAGCAGAGAAGTGTCTTCACTCAGGAGCAAACTCAGGTTGTTCTGCAGTGACCCCTTTCTGTAATGTATGTGAAGTCAGAATCCCATTCTTTGACCTCCTCCGTTTTGTGTTCTGCAAAAATGCACATTCGGAGACATAGGGTTGCACGTTTGAAAGAGGTATGTTTGTAGATGTGTGGTTTCTTATCTCCTCGTATGTTCCTCAGGCGTGGCAGTGACTCATCTTTCAGCAGTCCATTAAGGCGTAGTGGAGGCGGGAGCTTCAGAAAACCACGCAGGAGCATGATGGAAACTTCTGAGGTCCCAGAATATGGGGGTCCTTCTGCTACTCCTGTGGGTCAACCTGAGGAACCTCAAATGGAGTCAATCAACGGCACCCAGGATGACAACTAAAGAAATCATTCCCAAAGCCTTCTATCTTTTTTTTGGTGTAATTTTTTTAATGATAATTGAAACTAATTTAATCTTGACTATCTCCTAAAAATGATATTTGGTACTTATGTTCTTCACTCATTCAAATTGACTAACACTAATGGGGTGTGTGAAACCAGGATTTTACAAGCAACCAGATTTCTATCACTAACAAAATTCATGGTACCATACCTCCATGGTTTTTGGACATGTACAATAGCGATACCATGTTTCATTAATACTTAGGTACCATAGTATATATCCAAATGCCACAAAGTGATCCAAAAATTGATGCCACACTGTACCATGGTCAAGTTTTATGTTTTAAGCATTAAAGGGGTAATTCACTGCTGCCAAGGTGGGCTCCTAATAAACTTGGCTCTTTACAGTAGAACATTTTAAAAAAAAAGATTGAAATCTGTGCAACATGCGAACTTCTGCAGTGCTGCTGCTGACAACTAATTGGGGGTATCTGGGTGCAAGTAACGGAGAAAGATTACACATTGTTCATTTACTACCAACATTTTAACAGTGCAAATCTGGAAGAAAATCATCAAACTTGTCCTTTGAGGGATGCTTTAAAAACATTATATTTAATTCTCTTAATTTACTGTGTACAAGGAACTTTTGTTGACCAAAACTGTTTTTTCTGCATCTACATATACTGCTATCTGTGCCTTGCATATTATCTATATTATCAAGGGGGGGACCATAACCAAGAGCTCTGTTCATTCTGTAACAATAACATTTCTGAAAAGAAAGAGTCAAATAATTAGTCCTGTTAACTAGACATTTATTTTGTAGGTTCTGGATTAACCAACAAAATGGTTTTACAGACAGGCATTGCCCTTGCTGAGGAATGCATGGATGTTGCAGATGTTTAGGTTCATTAATAGCAAAGAAAAGTTATGTTGACAATTATACAAGTGGCAATTGTGCATGCCTTGTGCATATAGAGACAAATACAGAATTTGGACAGTAATGATACCTTTACTGAGGTTATTGCTTACATGAGGCCCTGAGATGGTGCAATCAAGTGTGCTAAATCTTCCCATCAACCATCATTCTCTATTTCTATAATTGTTCATTAGTACCTCTAGGCAAAGTGGATATATGTATAATGTATCAGTTCTTCCTTACATTTCTATTTTTTAACATAAAAATATCTGTACCCTTCACTGAAGTATTCATATTGCTTGTTACTCACCTAAATCTACAACTCAAAAATGAGAGAAATGTGAAAACTAAGGGATTAAACTCCTCTCAGAATTCAATTTCTCTTCATCCCGGATTCCCTGAAATATCAGAGAATTAATACATTGGGAAGAATAGCGAGAGAAGCTGCAAGTCCCTTTCGGGCTAGTAAGTTCCCCAATACACAAGTTAACTTTGAGGCAAAGCTTATTATGGCCACAAAATTAAGGCACATTAAATTCACGTTTAGTGCATGATATGATAAGCAACTACTCTCCAGTACTGTAGAGAAAAAGAATTCTTTGAATTCAAAGATGGCACTAACATTTTAAACGAGGAGTTCAATAGCTATTACTAGAAAGAAAAAGGGTTTTATCATGCATAAACATTAATGTTCCAAGCTAATGTTGGTTACTTACATCAGCCCTTATGAGGCAACAATAGCTCACAGCAGCTTCAGCTCACAACATCTCACCCACCTCCTTGTAACATCATTTGCATCTCTAAACACTAAAGACATGACATTCCATTAGTAACAAACTCATATTTCATCAAAATGCTTGTTTCTAAAAAAGATAAAAACCAGGTATTTCTGCATTAAAAAAAATAAACCAGCCGTCAACATTTCTCCAGTCCAGCGACCAACAATAAGTACGTGCAGTAGATGTTTCACTGGACATTGATCAGTAGTTTAGTGCCAAATATAATGGGGTTGCAGAGGTGAATCTATGGACTCACTTTCAGTCACTTCTCCCAATTTATGGTCCCAAAGAGAGCAAATCAAGATTACAGTGCAGATTGTACATTTCAAAACTGCTATAATCATTAGATACCTAAAAACAACACAAACAAAAATAAATAATAAAAAAACCAACAAGTGTGAAATAAAGAGTTAGTACATCTGCAAAACACAATGCAAATCTCCAACACAATAGCAAAACCACAGGTAACAGTTTCAGCCCACGGGCCAGAGAGCTGGTGAACAGTTATTATAGACACACTAGTAGGGTTGATATGAGTGTACAAGCAGAACCCTTCTCAGATAGTGGAAGACTTGAGGCATAAGATATGCTTTAGCTCCTGAAAATAAAGCTTTTCCATAGTAATGTATTGGGAATACTGGTTTTCCCAATGATGTGGGAACAAAAGACAAGCTTATGCACTTTATTCAGAGCATTATCTTGGATCCTGTACCAAAGTCCAACCGTTTCACCATCCTGCAACACATAACACAGAAATAAGAAAAATGATTGCAAACAAGCCAGATGTGGTACAATCTACATCATTCTGGGGTGCGTTTCCCGAAAGCATCGTTAGCCAACTATGGTCGCAAGTTCCGTCGTTATCAGCATAGTTCAACGATTCGGTGTTTCCCGAAACCATCGTTCCAACAAACATTCGCAAACAGCATTGCAAAGTTGTGTGGGTGGAACGACAGCTCTCGAGCTGCGGTTAGAAGCATAGTTTCTAGATTGCATGACATGTGGACTTAATAAATCCGTATCTTGAGCAAAATAAGCAAGCTGACATTCAGTACAACCTGTGTCTTTTATTTAGAATACATACAAATGTCATTTGCGTCTTTGAGTTTGTCGAGAGATTTAAAGCACCGTTTTTGAAGACTGCGCATGTGCGAACGTGCTCGCTCTACTATGTAAGAACGAGCCTATGATTGAATCTGGAAATAAAGCAAAATAACTGAGAAATATTCATCAGATTCCATGTCTGTAATTTATATCAAAACATCTATTATTTTCAATCTCAAACATTTTCATTAAAAGAAGTGATTATTCCACCATGTGCGTAACATCATAAACCAACGTGGTTGAACGACTACTTTGCGACAATATGGTCTCGGGAAACAATCGTGACTAGCTGGTTGATTTCTTTAACGATGCATCATACTATGGTAGTGAAGCATCGAGTTACGTCGTTGTACGGGAAACGCACACCTGGCCGATTAATGAGATGTTCTGAAATTAATAGTGAAACTATGAGACTTATCATACAGGCCATTTGTGTTGGATGGGATTTCTGAGGTTTCCCGTGAAATGCTTGGTGTACTCTGGCCAATTGCTGCACGGCTGGGTGTTTTCTCAAGGATGTGTAACTCTCTGCATGACGCCAGCTTTGATTCGAGGTTCTGAAACGGGAACAAAACATGTTTATCAAAACTACAGACCCATCTCACCTGAAAGAGTGTGTATTATTTGGTGATATAATGTAACTTCAGTTACAGCTGGACTCACCCCGACTTTCCTCAACAACTCTCCAACAATGTTGAGGGCAGATATCCGTGCAGATGTGGTAAGGGGAGTTCCAGTCAGACCTTCAACTGGACATGACAGGAACAATTTTAACTTTAACATTTGAACTCTTAAATGTTAGAAATGAGTGTCAGTGCTGTTTGAGCTCACTTCTGCTGTAGGAAGCTGAGGGTGTGTTGAATGCACTCCCTGAGCCTGGAGGTCTGGAGGGTGTGGCGAGGAGAGATGGGAGGGCAGATCTTGCGGGTGTGGCCTCTGGCTTCTCTGCATCTTTAGAGAGACTGATCGACGACTTGCGCTCCTGTTTCTCCTGAACAGCCAGCTCCTGTCTTAAATCTGCCAGAGGAGAAAGATAGCAAACACAACCAGCTCACATACACCGAATCTGTTAAAACATCTGAGACTGACAAATCAGGTGATTATGCTACTGACTATCAAAGAAGTTCATCAGTTAATAGTGAATGGTGTATATACAAACAGGTTTCCATTGAGTTTACCTCTGGCTTCGTCTTTTAATCTCTGTACTGATTCTAGAAGATTCTCTTTTTCGTCAAGCTCACTCTCAAGGAAAGCATTTCTTTCTATAACATGATTCATTCTCTGCTCAAAGTCCTCAAGTGACATTATAGTAGCCCTGTAAGAGCAGGATTTTAGGAATAAATTGTTAAAATCATGAATATCTTGAATGTATAACCAATTATTTTTCTTTTGTAATGGCAAAAGCACTGAACACACCTCTTAGCTCTTTCAAGGTCATCATTAGCCTGCTCTAACTCCCGGATATACTTGTGCAGTTGGTCCTTGATGGCTGTGGTTTCTGCCAGGTCTCCTTCTAGAGACGAGATCTGCCTGACTGCCTCCGAATGTTGCGTTTCATACTTCTCCTGTTAGTAAACAAGACCACACAAGAGGAGATAAAACATTTGCAAATGAGAAAGAAAGATGCACTGTAGTTTTAACAAAAGACTTTTTGAAGTCTCTAGTGCTCACCAAAGCTGAATTTATTTGACCAAAAATGCAGAAAAAACTATAATATTGTGAAATAGGGGTGTCGCAATATACCGGTGTTGACGATAATCGTGATATTCAAAGCATGAAATATCGGCATTGTGTTAATTTAACACGTGTGTGGCAATATACCGGTACACCCGCTGCGGCTGACACCTATCAAAGAAGACGCAGCCCGGGCCGCGCAGCTACTCTGAGAAGAACGTCGTCTGAGCAGGAGAGTGAAACACTCTGTCCACACCCGAAAAAAGAAAGCTCGGCTGTATGGGAGTTCTTCGGCTCAAAAGAAAACCCCCTGTTAACAGGTTAATGTCACGTTTCCCATTCCATGACTAGTAAAATAATCGCAATGTATTCTCTGTAAAATTGCGTTATCCGCAGGGTGATGGACACGGAGATGGGTAAAAAGGTTGGTGGCTACACATTCTGCAGCGCCGCGTCGCGTCTAGGACAACTCGAGGTATCGCACACCGGACGCGCTCTTTCTCAGTTTATGGCCAGCAGTATTCTTATGTTTAAGGACATTATGAAATTAAGATAATGTCTGTACTATGTTATGATTGTACTGCACAATTAAATACAATAGTTGCTGAGTCTGTGATCTGAACACTTTACCTCAGAGCATCCATTAACTGAATGAATTGAGAATATCACCTGAAAATCCGATTACATCAGCAATTTTCATTCAAGCGGCTGATTTCTGTAAATTAATGTAAAACGAAATGTACATTGCAGCACAGGGTGAAGTCATTTACGATGATTTGAGACAAATATAATAAATTTAATATAAAATGTAAATGGCGCTCTGTGTCGCGGCAGGATTTTGAACAAGAGCCGTTGCTGGGCGCCGCGGACAGACGCCGAATGGCACAACCGGTGTGTGTACACTCGAAGAGAAAATGTGTTTGAATTTTAAAGACGTGGCGCTGCGCTTCTCGTCCGGTGTGCGACCCCCTTTAAAGTGCTGTTTCTGTGTTCATACATTTAATAAAGGGTGATTATTAAGAACCATCTTATTTTTGTATTTGCACTTGATTTTTTTGTTTGTACCCTTATGTTTGTTGGGTAAAAAAGAAAAACCATATAAACAAAGTACAAATTTATTTGACTGATAACTTTTTTTAACTAAAACATGTGCATAAACTACGATGGAAACACATTTACAGAATAAATTCCTCGATGCGCACGAGACTGCACGATGGGAAGGCATAACTGGAGCAACCAGCGGACCGATCTCGTTGCACAGCATCTGAAATGCTGTTTTGGTCATTCTGAAATGCCTGAACAAAGTCTGTCATCAAAGTGGTTCGGAATAATTTACCTGCCAGAAACATCAACTACGTTCCCAAGCAGCATCCGAAAGCAAGATAACATGATCGTGTTTATTCCGTTATATTGTTATACTGAGATATAGAATATATTATAAACCTATATATTATATACAGTGGCTTCTTCGACTGTATCACCTCCGGTTTTTGTTAGATATATTTATCGCCAGTTTATCAGGAATGAAGATTTTGTTTTATTTGACTCACTGGATGGATGCTTTATTCACAAATGTTTTATGCAATATTCCAATATTGCGCAAAAGTTAAATTCGCAACTTTGGATGGAAACATAGCTAGTGTCACATGATCCTTCAGAAATCAATCTAATATGATGTCCTTAAATTATCAATATTTGGGGGCTTTTATTAGCAAGATTAGCATTAGATATAGGCATTTACTTCAGAGGAATTAACTGGCCTGTGATGTCATTTGACTGAAACTCAATCAACAATATGGTTTTACAACCATGTTTCTGCAATAAGCACCAAGTAAAATCATGAGTGAGCCTCCATGCCCTCCAGACACTGATGCAGAAATAAGCATCAGCTGCTTTCCTCATCCTGAATCGGATCTCTGTTGTTTGTCTGTGAATGTGCGATTGTTTATTCACTAAATACTGGGGGGGGGGGAACAGACAGACATTCTGGATGTACACGATCTGTCACAGAAGATTTAAATGGCTTTTATCTGTAGTTATACGCTTATGAAAGAAAGTTACGTGTCCCTACCAATATCCAGTGACACTGATATATCCCTAGCAATAATTTCGATCAAAACTTAAAATATAATTATATTGATGTCCCCGTCCCCACCAATTTCAAAATCAAACCAACGCCACTGGTTTGGGGTAATAGATCAATTTGATTAATTACAAAAACAAGAATAAGTAACAATTTTCCCTATAATAATATTTCGCTGAGCCACCTTTTGCTACAATAACAGCTATATGAGGTTTGCAAACTGTTAAGGTGTGACTTGGGAATATTTTCCATGTACCATGGACCCATAATCCTTTAAATGCAGATCTTTAAAGAGATTGTCATTTACCATAAATCTTCTAAAAGAGCAATGTATTAACCATGTGTCTATGAAGCTCCACGGTACCTTGTAGTTCTCTAATTCCATGCGTAGTCTGTTGTTGGCTGTAAGGAGTTCGCGGTTACGGGCATCACACTGCTTTAGCTCTGCCTCCAGTTCCACCTCATAGTCTCGACTCATCTGCTGAAACTCCTGCAACTCCTCCAGCGTCTCCTCAGCCCTGAACACACAGTCATTCAATGATGTGTGGGTTGTAAAGCAAAATCTTATATTTGTTGCTATTCGATGTGTTTAGCAGCAAACATGTGCAATGCAAAACTGCCTTGCTTTTCCTAAAGTTACTTTATGTCCACTGTAGATCAAATTTCAGTTTGAATAAAAAAACAACACTGATGTACCTCTGCTGGTATTTGGCAGCCTGATCCTTCCAGTAGTCCCTTTCTTGTTCAACAGATGCAAATGTTGCTGGCTCAGGCTCACTCATTGCTGTTCAGTCAGGTTTACTGGCAAAATAATAACCATCAATATATATATATATACAGTTACAAATGTATCAAGTTGAAAATGCAATGCAAAAATAATAAATGATAACAATTGCAATAAGACACGAGCACAATCTATGTACATAAACCATGCACAGAGAAGAGACTAGACAAAGCTGTTTTGCCACTGAAATAGTTTCCTCTTGTATGAGTCACAGTTTATTGTAATAGCGAGGAAAAACAGAAGAGGAAGGGCGTGACTTGTGATGATTTTTGAAAAACTAGAGATATTTCCCCTCAGGCGTACAATTCACTGTTACTCTAGCAATATGTCAGTATTTAAGGACCGTGTGACTAGACTACCGGAAGACTTCTTAAGGATATACAACCGAAGCTAAGCTAACGACAAAAAAAAATATTCCTCAGAATCCCCACTAAAAAGATGGTGCAATAAAGTGATATGCAGATATGTTTCCTATAAAATTATCAACATGTTAAGCTAGAGTTAACATTCTTAGTAGACGTAGAAGACATCAACTTCCTCTCAACATGTAAAGACAGCAGTCTTATTTGCTGGCTGGCTAACACAGCAAACCAGTCACTCAAAGTTTTATTAACTGTCGGCGGATTAATGCGCTGATAGAAGCTAAGTTACTTCGACAACGGATGAAGATGTTGACATGTAAACTGGATTAAATGGTTGTATATTACAATAACGATATTATCAAGAATATGTTGACGAGCGTTTTAAATAACTAACACATCTCATAACTGAGCCGAACTGATGAAACTATAAACGTTACCATTATCAAGACGAGTAATCACGCTAGCTAGCAACTTACCTTCGGGTAACGTTAATGCTCAAAGTTGCTTTCTTCCAAATATCTATTTTCGGTGAGAAACAATATTGAGCTAAAAATATGTTTAAGATTCTTGAGAATAAAATAAGTGAAAATATGTTCAGGCACGTTACACTCGTGACAATAGGATTCTCTCTTCTGTTGTGTAAAAACTCTCAGCTCGTGGTTTGTTTCATGCCTTCTTCTGATTGGCCGATTTGTAATGATGCCATCATTCTGCAAGCCAACGGTTGGTCGTTTGGTTACGTTTTTGTAAAGTCCATGGTTTCAAGCGACCCTCCCTTATCTTCGTCGGGCACTAGACGGCGCTAAAAATACTGCGCGAAACCTTTAAAATATTTATAATTGACTGTAGCGATGAGAAGTTTCATTGTATCGATTTTCCCCCCAAAGCGATTCGTTTACGTCGCCTGGTTTACGCCATTGCATCATTTACGTCATCACGCGAAACCTTAAAGGGATAGTTCACCCAAAAATGAAAATTCTGTCATAATTTATTCGCCATTAAGCTGTTCCAAACCAGTATGAGTTTCTTTCTTCAGTTGAACACAAAATGATATATTTTAAAGAATGTTTGTAACCAGACAGTTGACGGCACCCATTGACTTCCCAAAAAAAAAACTATGCAAGTCAATGGTGAGGTGCCATCAACTGTTTGATTACCAACATTCTTTAAAAATATATATTCTTTTGTGTTCAGCAGAAGAAATAAATTTATACAGGGTTGGAACAACAGGGTGAGTAAAAGATGACAACAATTTTTGGGTGAACTATCCCTTTAAATCACGACATGGCATATAAACTCGTATTTATTTGGTATTTATTGCATTAAATTTTTTTCCAATAATTGTAATTTCATGTGTCAGTTCAGTTAGTAGCAGCCATGATTCAGCTCTTATAAACAGCCATTTAGAACCTAAATATTTGCATTACATTAAACAATGCTAAAATTAATTTACATCTCTCTGCTGGAAAACTTGTTACAATTAAAAAAAGTTAAATAATACAAAATAAAAATCATGTGTTGACAAAGCTGTGTCACAATCATGTCGTGAACATATTTTCAATGCTGTTTATTTATAAAAATATCTCCTATTCGGAATAACTTTTTTCCCAATCAGTCAAATCATCAGTTGCTCTTACAAATGGTTTTCGGGAATTGTTGATCGCTCAAACCGATTTAGTCGTGTTCGTGAACGAATCCTTTTGTGAACAGGTTAATCACATAAATTGAAAACACCCCAAAAACTATTTGTTTATGAATCATGTGATAATTAGTACTATTTCCTAAAAATTAAGTGAGAACGTAACCTGGAGAAATATAAGTCATACACAAATAGTCACTATGAACATGGCGACAACCAACATGTGCTTTACATTTTAACAATAATTGTTCAATAATTGAATACATTAAATCATAATCAATAAATGAATTAATGGTAGACAAAAACAGTGCTTCGTGTTTTTAATCTAAAGGTTTTTCCTGGAGCTGACCTACATATTTGTGCATTTTCAGTAGGCTATTCTGTGAGGCCCTGAAAGCTGAATTAATTCTGGCCTCTGATGACCTCAGTGGTGAGCATTTGAAGCCATTTTAATCTAGTTGTAGGGATTAGCTAGGAACACAACAATAAAAATAAAAAAGCACAACGGGAGACACATCTGTAGATTGCACACACACAAAAAAAAATACATTTCTCATTTCACATGATAAAGATGATTTACATGCCATGCCATAAATAAAACGATCATTCTTTTCTAACAACAGCCACAGCTCAGGGACTATGAAATGGTAACACAGGACTGTGCATGAATTCCTTGCTCAAGTAGCAGAGGTCTGCCATGGCTCATTTGGGTCATGGCTGTATGGATCATCTTCTGCTTAATGACCGGCACCCAGACAAGTCCAGTGACCAAAAACATCAGCCCCACAGACAAGAATATAGGTCCTACTAAATAGGGCACATTGCCCACCTGTGTGAAGTACAACAAGGACAGTGCAGTGCCTGTGCCAAAGAGAAGACTCCCAATGAAGATGGCCAGGGCTGGCTTTTGAAAGTGACTCCATCCACATTTCACTCCTTTGTGAAAAGTCTTTTCAGGGTATGAATCAGCTTCATCAGTCTCAGTCCGGACAGAAGATATGTTGGAGTGCATTTTGATCTACAGAAATGCAAGACCATCTATATGAACTCAGCCTTAGAGCATGAAAACCACATATTTACAAATATTGCTTTCATACTAAAATAATGTCATTTCAGTAACTTACCATGCAACTAATACTATAAACATCAAAATAAAAAAATGAAGTACACTTACCCAGAAAGCTCAAAGCCCATAAATTGTTAAACAGAAGCTCTTGTTCCACTTCTGTCTGCCAGTTACTGTATTTACCCACAAAATACAGTGGAGGGAAAGCCACTCCTGTGGGTGCGTCAGCAGCACTAACATCTGGAGCAGGACTAGTACACTGCCCTATTTGGGTCTCAGAACGGTTTCGCCCACAAATACAAAAAACACATTGCATCCGCTTTAAGCAAAGGGCTAAACATATAGTTGATAAGCCCGTTTTACAAGACATGGGATTTATACCACCTACAAACACTGAAAATATCATTGCAGCTTGCACACGCAAGCTATTAAGGGACGTAGGATTTAGTAATGTATAGTACTTAGGATTTCTGCTTTTAACAAAATAATTTTTTTGCAGAATCAGATGGAATCCAAATCATTAAAAAAAAACAGATCAACACTTTTTTTTAAAGGGGTGGTTGATTATGATTTCACCAACTTTAGAGTGTAATGTTGCTGTTTGGGCATAAACAACATCTGCAAACTTACAACGCTCAGTTCAAATCAAAGGGAGATATTTTCATTTAAAGAAATTGCTTTTTAAGGACTACAACAAACAGCTGGTAGGGACTACACGACATTTCTCCCGGGTTAGTGACATCACGAACCCTAGAATTTACATAAACCCCGCCCCTAAACTTTTGAGCTAAAACTTCACATACACACTCTGGGGACATCAAAGACTTATTTTACATCTTCTGAAAAGGGCATTATACCACCCCTTTAAACAGGACAAAACTTCACCAAAACATCCTGAATTAACAAGGCCAAGATATAGGTCAAACATTTCCATCACACGTTTCAAAAAGAAAACATTCCAGGCATATAGCACAAAATATATTGTGAAGGAAGAGGGGGAACAAAAAAAATTCAACACATTTTTCCCCAATTTTATATTTTATTGTCATAGAAGATGCTTTAATAATGCGAACACGCTCATGCACTTTGCAAGAACGTTGTGAACAGAAACCAAAATGGGAATAAGCAACGGGAGACATGTATAACCAAGATTTTAACATTTTGGTTTCAATTGGTTAATCATTCAAACTTTACTGTTCATAAATCATTTTATGTTAACAAGCAAATCTTGGTCCACATAGGGTTACTGTATATGCTGCCATTATATTTCTCTGATGGAAGCAAAAAGAAAAATTATATATAAAAAAACAATAAAAACAAAGGTTGGAAGAGAGCTAGATCTCTTGCCATTTAACGTGTGCAGATTGATGAGGAACAGGTCATGGGGGAGAACCTAAAACAATGGCATCGCTGAGCTCTCAATATGAGAAAGCTGACACATGTGGACTTGATTTCATTTTCATTTGCTTAAAAACAGATTTCTTTAAGAGAAGTTTTTTAAGCAGGTCTTCAAGAGGCGAAGGGGAGAAAGAACAGGAGGGCTATGAAGTGTGCTGCGGCCGTAGCGGCATCTACCTCCGCCTCGGTCAGTCGTTTCAGATCCACTAAACGTTCTTTTCAGTCCTTCTCGGCAACAAGTTTTAACACTTTTCCAATGGCAATGGTTTTCCCTGAAATACAAAGAAAAGTAAATATTCACGGAACTCAAATTCACAGAACAGAAATAAACTACAAAACCGAGTTGATGGCAAGTTAAAATTACATTGGGATGAAAATATCCTCTCACCTTCATCTCGTAAGGTGAAGCGTCCCATCTGAGGGAAATCTTTGAAGGTCTCAAGGCAGATGGTCCCAGCTGTTCTCAAACGAGCAATGCACACCTGGTCCTGTTTGACGAAGCGGGGCCGTGTTTTGCTCTTGTCCCCCGTCTTTTTGTCTACCAGACAAATTAAGGCCTGTAAAGGGGCCAGAGGTACATTTAAACCACTTTGGTAAAGAACTAGCTGTAAATGAGGGTACTCAGGCTTACAAGCACAGATTTACACCACAAGAGAATTTCCACACAAATATTAAGTCAATGTAAGAACTGGAAAAAAAGTGGAGTAACATTCTCAACCATTACCGAAATTTGCACTTCTTCAATGCAGGTGTGGATATGAAGAACTGCATTGTAACCTGGGCAGATGATTGACTTGTGTTCAATGATGACTATCTGAAAATGCCAGAGACAGAAGCACAATTATTATGTGGAATTGCAAAGCAAAACACAAAGAAAATGGAGCAATCAGAAATACTGTTGATAGAACTAAGGATGGACCAAAATTTAAGTCACCGAAAATTATCAGCATTTTCAGTTTAGCCAAAAAAGAAAAAAGGCAGAAAATATATGCCGCCCCACCCCTCAGTGTTCAGCGCTCAGGTTTCACTCTCGCAGCCTTTTTTGTAACTTGGCGAGCGGCTCCGCTTCCGAAGGCACACAACTTTAAAGCGACTCAGTTCGAGCCGGTAAGTCTGTACCGGCACCCAGTTTGCTCTGCTCCGTGTCTGTGCTCTCTGCTCAGTCGCTCACGGCCCAAGCGAACGCTCCACTCATTTACCGCTCACACTCACCGGAAAAGCAATATCTGCTCAAATAACGTGCCAACATGAAATTTTTCTGTGGTAGACTTGTTTCTGTTTGCAATAGCCGCACTGTGCTGTAACAGTGGGGCTATTGCAAACAGTGGTTTAGCTGATTAGTTAAATCTGATTCCGTTGCATAGAACTGAATAAAGAATAATGTTGATATTTTAATATTGGGTCTATTTTGGTGTGTTATTTTAAATAAAATGTTTGGCTTGTATTTTTTTATTCAGATTCAATAAAATGATTGAATTTAATTAAATTCTAATATTAATAAAATTAAACAAAAAAACTACATTTAAAATAAGAGCTTATAAAGAGTAATTATATAAAAAAAAAAAAAAAAAAAAAGGT